GTGTAGTGGTTAAGTGCATGGACTCTAATCTGGGAGAACTGGGTTTGATTCCCCACTCCTCCACATGAAGCCTGCTAGGTGACTCTCTCAACTCTACCTGCCTCACAAGGTGACTGTTGTGGGGAGAGGAGGGGAAGGCGATTGTAAGCCGCTTTGAGACTCCTTAGGGTAGGGAAAAGCAGGGTATTAAAACATTCTCTTCTTATCTACACCCACATTGCATATAACTAAAAAAAATATCTAACAATATAGTCCTACGTATTGAAGTCAATGGACTTAGAATGGTGTAGCTCTGCTCAGGATTGCACTGTAAATCACTTTGTGATGAAGTGGCCTGTATATTACATTAGAATAAATTAAGGTTGCCAAGTCACTTACCTGGCATAGCGGGGGGTGGGGACCTCGTCCCGGTCCAGGAGATTCGTGGAAGTGACATCATCACGCTGGGAACGTCGCCGGCCGACACTCTAACAATCGGCCTGGAAACTCTATGGTACCATAGAGTTTCTAGGCCGATTGCTAGAGCGTCAGCCGGCGACGTGCCCGGCGCGATGACGTCATCTCCAGGTGACGTCATCGCACCGGGCACGTCGGCCCGAACTGGGTACTTTGGGGGCGGGGTTCCCCTGCCAGCCTGATCTGGATTGGCGGGTTTGGGGCCCTTTCGGCGGGAAAACCCCCACCCCCGGGGGGACTTGGCAGCCCTAGAATAAATGTTAGTCTTTAGGGTGCCGAATACTGCTTTGACACACCAGATCAGAAGACCAGGTACCTGTTTCAACATTAGTCCCCTCTCTCCCTTATGCATTTCCAGTGATACCTGTCACGAACTTCTGGGCCACGTCCCTCTTCTGGCTGAACCCAGCTTCGCACAATTCTCTCAGGAAATTGGCTTGGCGTCACTTGGAGCATCTGATGAAGCTGTTCAGAAGCTGGCAACTGTAAGTAGAAGATGCAACACACCCAGAAAGGTCTCTCGGAGAGCGGAGCAGAACGGCCGGTGCACGTGTGGCGAGGAGGGCCGCCCGCGTTGCGTCTCGGAGGCGCGCGGGTGGAGGTGCTGCCTGTTGCTGCCGGGGTCGTCTGTCCTCTCCTCCCCTTTCAGGCTGCGGCTGCGGAGAGTTCCACAGTCCGGCCGGTCAGCCCCCGCTTTCGGGCGGGCGGGTGTGAAGCGACAGGTGGGCCGCCGCCAAGGCAGGAAGGGCTGTGGCCGGAGCTGGGACCCTGACAGTCAGGGCCAGAGAAGGAGGCGGTGGCAGCAGCAGCGCTGATTTGGGAGGGGGGAGGGGGAGCAGGGGAGGGGGCCCGCAAAACCAGTGGGAGGGCCAGGCCTCGTGGGCCCCATGCAGGCTATGGGCCTGGTGGTTTGCCATTGCCTTCTTCCACATAACAGCCCTGGTCTTCCTTGGGGGTCTCTCATTCAAACAGAAGAAGAAGAGGAGGAGGAGGAGGAGATTGGATTTATTCCCCATCCTTCACTACCCAAAGGAGTCTCAGAGTGGCTTACACTCTCCCTTCCCTTCCCCTCCCCACAACAGATACCCTGTGAGGTAGGTAGAGCTGAGAGAGCTCTCCCAAGAACTGCCCTTGAGAGAACAGCTCTGAGAGATCTTGTGACTGACCCAAGGTCATGCCAGCAGCTGCGTGTGGAGGAGTGGGGAATCAAACCCGGTTCTCCCAGATTAGTGTCCGTCCTCCTAAGCAAACTGGCTCTCTGCTTACTGACCCTGCTTAGCTTGTGAGGTCTGAGAAAACCATGCTAGTCTGGGCTGTGTGTTAAACACTCTTTCCTGTCCTTTTCATTCCTTTATTAGTGTTACTTTTTCACGGTGGAGTTTGGCCTGTGTAAACAAGAAGGCCAGCTAAGAGCTTATGGGGCTGGCTTACTCTCGTCGATCAGTGAACTAAAGGTAAGCCTAAATATGCCTTCCAATTACCATTGTTAGGTCTCGGAAAATGGTTTATAAAAATATTTTACATCCAGTTACGGTTTTCCACATCCTTTCTACTAAGGTGCCTGCAAGAAAGCCTTACCAACTTGCTGAGGGTCTGGGGACATTTTTTAAGGACCCATGCTTGGTTTATACCGGCTGTTTGTCAGATCTGTTGGGTGTCATTGTCATCCTGCATAACTGAATGTGCTCTCAGCATTCAAGCACATGCCCAACATTCTCCAGAAGTCGAGTTGCCAACTATGGGTTGCGGAATTCATGGAGATTTGGGGGCGGAGCCTGGAGAAGGCAGAGATGCCAGGCCTCCCACTATAGCATGAAGACTCCTGGTATCTGAGCTTGTTGCCTACAGGTGCTTGAGGTGCCTGCAGGAGGTAATGGGGGGGGGAGAGTGCACACCAACATTGCATAAATCTCCCCACATGTGCCCCAAATTAAGAGCTCCGTCTTGCAGGCCCTGCGGAGCAGTGAGGTCAGGGACACAGAACCGCCTGACTCTTTCTGGCCCGAGAGACATCAAGTTGGCTGCCACTAGAGCCAGAGCCTTTTCAGCAGCAGCTTCACGCTGGTGGAATGAGCTCCCGGATAACATCAGGGCCCTGCGGGACCTTTTACAGTTCCGCAGGGCCTGTAAAACGGAGCTCTTCCACCAGGCTTTCAACTAGGGGCCGCCACTGATGAGTGGCCACTGGTGAATGCGCCACGGACGAACGGGCCGCCGGAATACATCTCGGCCGCATGAATGGGCCACCGGAACACATCTCGGCCCGTACGAAACACCGATTGGTTAATGCCGTAGTCCGTATATTTGTACACCGCCATCATTACTATTATCAACATCATCATTGGCATGGTTAACGATTAGTTAATGCCATAGTCCGTATATTGTACGCCGCCATCATTACTATTATCAGCATAATCATTGGCATGGTTAATGGTTGTTGTTTGCATTTACTTTGTGTTTTAGTGTATTTATTGTTTCAATGTTGTTTGCCGCCTTGAGCCAGCTTTGTGGCAAGGCGGGAGACAAATCGAAATAATAAAATAAAAGCCAATCACTTTCTCTTGGGCTAGCCTCCTAATTGTGATTGTGAGGGGAAAATGAGGAGAGGAGGAATGCATATGAGCTGAGCTTTTGGAAGAAAGGCATGATAGAAATGTAGTAAATCGTAGTGGTGAAGAGTAAGCTGTCTTTCAGGAACATTTTCCTGTCATTACTGATCTCCTCTCTGAGAAACCTTGATAAGCTTTCCAGAAACCCTGTCTGAAAACGACTGATTTGGGACCATGCCTGTATTACAGATGCAATGCCCTCTACTCTGGCCATATTCTAATGACCTACATTTCTCATTAAGGGTTGTCGGCTGTATAATTTTAGACATTTCTTCAGTTACTTCCTAGATAGAACGTGGTCCTAACCAGGGCTTTTTTTGTAGAATAATTAGCAAACTAATTTATGCAGTAACCAAATCATTCGCTCACAACTTTAATGCCAGTAACTCACAAAGTAGAATCTTTGCTCGCAAGACTTCACAGCTTAGAGGGAACATTGTCAGCTGTATAGTTTTACACATTTCTTCTGTTACTCCCTAGATAGAACGTGGTTTTGTATCACATCACGTGAGCTGGTCTAGTTTACCAGCTTGTCATTTTTCTAATACCAAACGAGCTTATTCTAAGTTTGCTTTGATTACAATTTCGTGAGGCTTTTTGTGCCATGTATGTAATAAAGTATTGCCCAGTTTACAGACAAATGGCAAAAGGGAGTTCTACAGTGTTTCTTAGTAGACTTTTATATCACATCATGTGAGCTGGCCTAGTTTACCAGCTTGTCATTTCTCTAATACCAAACGAGCTTATTCTGAGTTTGCTTTGATTACAATTTCGTGAGGCTTTTTGTGCCATGTATGTAATAAAGTATTGCCCAGTTTACAGACAAATGGCAAAAGGGAGTTCTACAGTGTTTCTTAAGGATTACTTAATGTAATGATAAAAATAATAGCAAAAATCCAGGTTTCAGCTCCAACATAAGGTCACGGTTTATTCATTGCACTTATTTGCAGCCATGTCATCTCCGAAGACGGTTTGATGGTGATGTCTGTGACGTGTGCTAAATGTAATCTGTGAAACGTTTTGCTTTGTCTGTCCGAGCAGCATGCCCTCTCTGGAAATGCCAAAGTCAAGCCCTTTGACCCCAGTGTCACCTGCAAACAGGAATGCATGATCACTACATTCCAGGATGTTTACTTTTCTTCTGAAAGCTTTGAAGACGCAAAAGAAAAGATGAGGTAATCTATCAAGTATCATTATGGTCCCCCGAACTTGTTGAGTGTGTGAGTCCTTCTAGAACTATGAGGGTAGTGGGCAGGGGTCATTTCCTAGAAAAAGAGGCGCAGGAGCTCATTTGCATAACTTATTTGCATATGCCACACCCCTGACAAAGGCCAGGCATGTTTAAAATGAGTTAAGGCATATGCAAATGAGTTTCAATCCCCCTCCCTTCCCTGAGTCTCTCCGCAAAAGCGGGCTGGCTGGAGACAGGCAGGGCAGGGAACCCAGGCATTTAAATCCCCCCTGAGTCTCTCTGTGGGCGGGGGGGGGGGCTGGGCTTCTTACTGCCGGAGCGCCGCTCCAGGGCGCTCCAGCAGGAAATGACCCCGTTAGTGGGTACCATCACAAAATGGCTGCCACATGGAATGGGGCCAGTCACAAAATTTAGGAAGTTTGGAGACAAGCATCCTCGATGACTGAGAGAGCTGCTTCTGAATGGGTGCTCCTTGCAGACCCGAAACGTTATCCTCCTGAACTCTTCAAAAGCATTCCAATGAAATAGCAGGAAACTGTTTGGGGGAAGAGTTGCGGTTTGGCTTCTACTTCCGAAGAAAGAGGAAGGGCTTCCGTGTTCAGTCAAAAGGCAAGGCTGCCAAGCCCAGAGACGAAAATCTGTGTCCCGGACCAAGCTAAAAATGCACAGCTGTGATGCGCCCGCCCAGAATGAGCTCAGCGGTTTATTAGTCAGCTGGTAAGGCGTGACCTGAAGCTGTTCTTTCCCTGTTCCATTCATGACTCTTTGGATTCCTCCCCCTCGCCCCCAAGACACGAGCAGGCACCAGGAGTCACCAGGAGTCACACTTGCAGAATCTGTGTTGGGCATCACTGAGCTAGAATGTTAGCTCTATCAATTAGCTCTACCACATATTTTTTGGGGAAAATTATTCTATTAATACAAAAATTGGGGGGGGGGGGTAGGTGGATTGCCAGTATCAACTTCTGCAATGTTTTTCACTATGAAAGGGACCCCCATTCCCACTGGCACTATGGCTGCTTCCATAGTAAGACACCTTCGTACAGCATTATTTTCCAGAATCAGCTGGAAGGAGAAATGAAACTAAGATTCCACATGACACTAGATTCCACATTAAAATCTAGCAATGTTTATCTTATAGGAAAGATCCTACTGTGGCCCCGGTCACACAGGTCAGATAATGTGGGGGGGAGGTGTGGCTGTTCGCCATGGAGCATAATAAAGCACGGTAGCCCGATCACATGGTCCCCCGAGTCTCCACACTTAGGCTGTTAGCTGGCAATCACACGGCGATGCTGGAGCGTGGCAAAGAAGCGGTGCGGCAAGCGTTTTGCGTTTGTCCGCATGCGCAGTTCCATGGAGCAGCAGTGCTTTCAGTTACGTGTTTGTGTGCATGTGCTTACGAAAAACATCTGGTTTGTGACGGGATGTGGATGGGCGCCGGATGCCATGGGATACTAGCGCTCCCGCAATCAGACACCCGCCCCTGGCCCGCGTTTTCCAGATACTAGTGCACTTTCCACGGTACTTTTTTACTGCGCATCTTCGGCGGGACGCCATGGGTTGGCCACGGGTGTGCTACGCTTCCCAGATGTTGCAATGTGATCGCGCCCCAAAAATCCGCCTGACATTCGTGCCTTTAGCGTGGCAAATCCTCCATGTGACCGGGGCCTGTATATTTATTCAGAAGTCCTGTTCTTCAAAGGTTTTGTCACTGAAATGTTACACTTGTTCCTTTGACGTAGATGTGTTGAAGCAACAAATAATCAATTGTTGATTATTGATTCTTGGTGGGATTAGTTTTCACTTTGCGGCCAAAATTTATCGCTCACTATTTTTTAATGATTGTGATAGCATGATTACAAAACTGCAGTCATTCTCATAAAAACTAGCACCAATTTGGCAGTCAAGTGCAAAGCAGTCCACAACCTGCTCATCCAACAAGAATAAATAGCAATTCATTTAGAAATGCTGCAGTCATCTGTAAGAGAAATAACTTACTCAAGCTGGAAGTAGGAAGGAAGGAATAAAATATAAAGGGATAGCAGCCCTGACAAACATCAATAGTGGTCAGTGTTCCCTCTAAGCTGAGTTAGTGTGAGCTAGCTCACAGTTTTTTAGCCTCCGGCTCACACATTTTTGCCTTAGCTCAGGAAGGATGGCTCCAGAGCAAACTAATTGATGCAGCAGCCAAATCGCTTGCTCACAACTTTAATGCCAGTAGCTCACAAAGTAGCATTTTTGCTCACAAGACTCCACAGCTTAGAGGGAACATTGATAGTGGTTTGTCTATATGGGAGAGGTAGGCACTGTAGTTACCTTTTTATTAAAAAACAACAACACCAAGTCACAACTACGTCAATTATTTTCTTCGTTAAACTAAGTGAACGAATGATGGACGTTCCAGACTAAATGGCTAGTTTGGAAACAGCCCTAGAGAATATGCATAAGTTCTGGTGATGCTGTTGCAACTATTGTGAGAGGGAGCAATAGACTCATACCTGAAGCAGTCATTGGTTGAATGCTTAGGAAGACTTCAGCTGATTTTCATCATTTTTCCCCATTTGAACAGAGAGTTTGCAAAGACAATCAAGCGCCCCTTTGGAGTGAGCTACAACCCATATACTCAAAGTGTGCAGATCCTGAAAGACACAAGGAGCATCGCTACTGTGGTGAATGAACTGCGGCACGAATTGGACATTGTCAGTGACGCCCTCAACAAGATGGGCACGCACCTGGGAATCTAACCTATCCAAACGCCATCATCTATGTTGCACTCAGTGACTAAAGATACGGTTTCGACAGAGAATTCCACTTTTCAAAACCTGTAGTATAAAGAAAGGAAAATTATTTTATTTAAATCCTTGCCCTCATCGAAGCATTCGATTCTATAGAATCCTGAGAACTGCCTGGTGGTCCTTGTAGACTATTAACCTACAACCACTAGTACCAGTTGCAAAAGGTGTAGAAACTCATCATTGTGTTTCTTAGGAAGGTATCCTGTTTAATGTCCAATTACTTGTTTTTGGGAGCTGCGGTGGCTCCAGTGGTTAAGACGCTGAACTGCAGGCTGTGGAAGGTCGGTAGTTCAGCAGTTTGAGACCCGGGTTGCCGCATGACGGATTGAGCTCCCGTCTCTAGTTCCAGCTCCTGCCAACCTAGCAGTTCGAAAGCTAGAAATTGCAAGTAGATGAATAGGTACCGCTTAGGTGGGAAGGTAACGGCATTCCATGCGCCTTGGCGTTTAGTCATGCCAGCCACATGGCCACGGAAACATCTGCGGACAGCGCTGGCTCTTCGGCTTGGAAACGGAGATGAGCACCGCAACCCTAGAGTCGGACTCGACTGGCTTTCGAGCAAGGGAAACCTTGACCTTTACCTTTAATCTTAAACCCCATAAGGAGCAGACTTGGTGTTTTGTCCTGCTGGCGATCCCGTCTTTGAAATGGGTTCCCGGCAGAGCGTGCGTATGGCGAGAAGCAGCACCTGTGTTCTCCTTTGGGAGTCAGAGCCACGCATCATGGTGCTCAGTTCAGTTTGGTGTTGTGATTAAGAGTGGCGGACTCTAATCTGGGAGAACCGGGTTTGATTCCCCACTCCTCCGCTTGCACCTGGCTGGATGACCTTGGGCAAGCCATAGTTCTGTCAGAGCTGTTCTCGAAAAAGAGAAGTTTCTGCCAGAGCTCTCTCAGCCCCACCTACCTCACAGGGTGTCTGTTGTGGGGAGGGGAAGGGAAAGGAGTTTGTAAGCCGCTCTGAGACTCATTTGGGTAGTGAAGGGAGGGGTATTAATCCAATATCTTCTTCTAAGAG